CAATCAAGAGGGATAAAAAACATAACTTTTTTGTATTATACACTAAGCACAAAAACAGCTCTAAGATAGGTAGAAAAGCAATGCAAAAATGGGGAATATAAAGGCAAGTTTCTTACCCTTGAAGATCCCTTCAACAATGGTGCTCCAACAGCCCTCCTTGGCTTGAATCCAGCTCCAAAATACCAAAACCAACCCCTTAGAACCTCAGTAACCAAAGGAAGGTGAAGCACTAGGTGTTTGTGTGCAATAGTATGGACTAAAACACCTAGAACACACACAAGAGGGAGATATAGAGATAGGATATGTATGAAACCCTAACCCTAGAACTCAAACCCTAAAAATGGCTGTCTAAACTCTCTAAAATGTCTAAAGTGTCTAACCTGTCTAACCCTTAAGGCCAAGAGAGAAGACTCTCTCTTATAGAGCCTTTTGTCTTGTAAAGCTTACAAGACAAGCTTCTAAAGAGAGAGATCCCTCCATACACGTGTATAGAGGGGAGCCAAATGCAAGACAGCTGTGATAAAATATCTGCAAAAGCAGATGCACAGTAGTTGGCCGGCCAAAGATGCCATTTTGGCAAAAAGGAGTGCGATACAAAAGGTGCCGACCGGCAAAATAGATTGCCGATGGAAACAAAAACCAGTCGGTGGCCTCTGGCCATGGCCGGTGGTGTGTGGGGGTGCCTCACAAGGCATTCCCTGCCCCTCCAAGGCAAAACACAAGTGTTTGGTGCAAAACCAGACACTAAACAGTCGAGTTCGGAGATCCTAAGGCAAGGCGTGCGAGCCGAGACCTCCAGGAACTCCAAACGAACACAAACAAGGGAAATCACCAAGTGTTCCAATGGTGACGTCCAAGTCTTGAGGACGGTCAAAAATGGGGTGTCTACATTGGTCGACCACTCCCCCTGGTCGGCCAACTAGGGGTCAAAAGGGTCAAGAAGAAAAGGTGGTCGGCCTACCCATATTGGTGGTCTCCCAGGTGAATGCAACTTAGTGGTATAGTGGGAGACCAGAAATTATGGCTCAAAAGTGAGGGAGACCAGTTTCTCGACAAGAAAACTGGCTGGAAGAGAGAGAAAAGTGGTCTCCAAGGAGAAAGTTGGTCTCCAAGAAGAAAAGGTAGTCTCCCACCCTTGTACCACCTTCCTAACAATGAAACTAGGGTCCATGCCAAAAATGAATCCTAACCGATGCAAAACGAGGGTTCGAGAGCCAAAACGCGCAGCCGGGGGCCCCGAAAACTGACTGTTAAGCATCGAAAGTGGCGTGCGACCACGAAGGTGGTCTCCCGGGTCACAGTGTCCCTCTAAGGAGAGGAAACAAGGTGTGTGCCGAAAACCGAAGCAAACAGAGGTAGTTAAGCGATCCCGAACCGAGGCACACGGCTGACAGCTTCGAAAACCAGAAACTAGTCTCCAAACGGGAAAAATGGCCTACGGCCACTGAGAGATGGTCTATAAGACCTCTCCCTCCCTTCAGGAAGATAAAATAGAGAAAATAAGACCTGGTTCGCAAACCAAGGCAAGGCACAAAAAGGTTCCGAAGCCCGGAGGCAAGGTTCTTAACCGAGACTTTGCAACCTCAGAACGAGCACAATATGCAACATCACCGAGCGCTCAGTTGGTGATGTCTGAGTCTTAAGGTCGGTCAAAAATGGGGTGTCTACACTAATATTTATGTCAAAACTCATAAGAAGGAGTAGATGATCCCTACCTCAAAGTTAGGAGCTCAAAGGAGATAAGAAGAAAAATGAAAGATGCTTCAAATGCGAGATTTTTCGGATCAAAGCGAAGCCCACCCCGAGCACAACCTTTCTAACAAAGGGACTAGGCTAGAAACACACTAGAAGTAGATCAATCCCTAGAGAGAAGGTAAGTGTAGAGAGAGAGGGAGCTGAATCTAGGGTTTTGAAATCAAAAGGGATGAAAAAGTGAAGTGTAATCCCGCTGCTAACTACTGATATAACACAGGCTCACTCGAGCGAAGGATTGGTCGCTCGAGCGACCAGACACAAAGAAAACCTCGCTTGAGCGAAGAAAGTCTCGCTCGAGCCAACAATGCAAAGCTTCAGGTCTGCAACCAGAAGCACGCTTGAGCGAAGAAAAGCTCGCTCAAGCGAAGAACTCCAAAACATAGTCCTCGCTCGCTCGAGCGAAGGAAAGCTCGCTCGAGCCAAGGATTGTAACTCTCAGGTCTAAACCCATTATTTCAAAACTGAATTTGTGATTTTAGGACCTGACTACACATGCGGGGCTCTCAAACGCACATACGGAACTGGGCAAATAGGCCTATTTGGAAATTTCTTCATGTTCTAGGCTTTCTTCTCTTAGTTTTAAGGCTAGGGTTCATGCAAACTCAACCTAAAACTTGTAAATTTAATGACAAACATGAACATATGATTGTTTTCCAAATCAATAACATCAAAACATAATTTGGTTTCAAGATTCAATGATCAAAATTCAAATATTGTTGAAAATTTCATTACTTCAACTTTGTACTCAAACCCTTCCTTTTCATTCCTTTAAAACCTACAGTAGCTTACAAAGTTATTGCAAACCAAGAGAACATGTGAAGATGAAGACCTAAATGCATCAAGAACATCAAAGACTCAATCAAAATGATGATTTTCTAAGCCAATTTTTCAACCCAACCCAACTTTTCTCATTCTTTTCGCTCATCTCTTCCTTATTAATTCAAAATTGATCCCAACATTTCCTCAATCTTAGGTGCTAGGAGGGTTTACTACAAGATTTGAAATTGAAATCTTACCTTAGCTTGGTTAAATGATGAGTTTTGGTGAAGTTCTTGAATTTCTCCTCTTTTCTCTCTTCTTTCTCCTATAGATTTTCTTCCCTTCTTTTGCTTTCTTAAGTTAAGATGAGAAAGAATACTAAAGACAAAAACTAGGCAAGACAAAAGGTGAGTTGTATGCTTCACCAAATTTACTTAACTCTTTTACTTAGCTTAGTTAATTAATCAAGGTTAGTACTAATTAATCTAGGTTTAACTTAATCATACTAAACTTAATTGATCGTAATTAGGACTCACTAATCATACTTAATTAATACTAATCCCGATTAGCAAAATAACACATAACATGTATCGATAGATTTTATGAATATTTTTTATGGATGTTTGCACACTTTATGTTTTTATGAATGCTTAATATTTTAAGAAAAGTGAATCTGTAAACGTACGGCAACTAATGGCTAGACAAATCTAGTTTGTTCGACAATATGACACCGGAATAATCCAAATTGTTTATTAATTTATAATCGAACAAGCCTATCATAAATTTAGAAAGAAAAAATCAACATTTTAAGGATAGTGAATCTGTAAACATGTGACAACAGATAGCTAGACAAATCTAGTTTATTCAGTAATATGACATCAAAGTAATTCAAAAGGAATAGGTATAATGAGAAAAATCTGTAGAGGTTTTAAAACAGATGGCATTTCCCACATAATATAAAAGGCACTTCATTTATAAAGAGTGGTACTATTAGCACCCCATAAATTATTTTGAACCCCCCATTTCTTTGGACCCCCACTTATAAATTTTGAAACCGTTAAAATTTCTTTTCTCTCTTCCCAAATAATACCAAAATTATCCTTAAACATTCCACCCATTGAATGCACACCCCCACACCCCCAAAAAAACCTCCCCTTCCAAAAAAACCCTAACAAAACCCATTAAGAAAAATGAGAGTCTCATCCTTTTCAAAACCTGCGAAGAAGAAAAAGAAGAAGAATACTGTCTTTGCCGATTTAACCATTGTCACAGTTGGTATGCTCTCTCTCTCTCTCTCTCACACACACACACACACATTGCTTCTTCAAAACTGAAACTACCGAACTTGAAAAAATAAAATTTTTGCGAGTGTTAAGAATTTTAACCATTGAAAGTGTTAACAAATTTTCATGTTTGGACCTGCATTCCCGAACAAATAATCTATGTTCGAGAATGTGTTTACGAACAAATAAGTAATGTCCGGGCCTGTATTCCCGAACTTGAAAAAATGAAAACTTCTGCAAAGGTTAACAATTTTGACCGTTCAATGTGTTAAGAAATTTCCATGTTCGGACCTGCATTCCCGAACATTACTTATTTGTTCGAGAACATCTTCCCAAACAAATAAGTAATGTTCGGGCTTGTATTCCCGAACTTGAAAAAATTAAAATTTCTGCAACCGTTAACAATTTTGACCGTTCAATGTGTTGAGAAATTTTCATGTTTTGACTGTTCAATGTAGGTAATCAAATGGTTGCCACCGTTACCGGAATATTACAAGCAAAGGGTTTTCAAGGTTTTAAGGGTGGGTAGGTTTTGAAGGTGGAATTTGGAGAAAATGGATGGGTGATGACGAAGGTGGGTGCTCTTATAAACCCTAATTCATGATATAGTTGGTGTGTATGTTTAATTGTGAGATAGGGTGTCCCAAAATCAATGATATCATTTGTAGTAATTTTATTTGAGGTTATTATTGTATTAAAAAAAAAGGCTAAAAATTAAGGGGTCAAATAATTTATGGGGTGCTAATAGTAGCACTCTTTATAAAATGGGTTGTATTTTGGCAAGTTTCCCTTTTCGCCCTTTTGTTTGAAATTATTTAGAGTACTGCTATTAGCACCTGCCAAAATTCTTTGAACCCCCCATTTTATAAATTTTTTTTTATTACAATTATACCCTAATGTAATATTACATTAAAAGACATTATTAAATGGAACATCCACCTATCAATTAGAACTAATACTCTATAATATTGGACACCCACCCCCACCCCCAGCTCCAACTCCAACTATATGTATTCCATGTTTGTAAACCCTAAACCTATTACTTTTCATAACCAACCAACATAAACCCTAAACCTATTATTTTTCATAATCATCTTAAATCCTGAATGTGTCATCTTCATCACCATCATCAATGCTATTGAACTTGAAAGTTTTGCTTCAAGTATAATGTATACTTCATCACTTATTTCACTGTGTAGAGCAATGGAAGATGAAGACAACAATTCTAGTGAGACCGGTATTCCATTAGTAAGTTTATCTGTCTGGTATTAACATTCTCGGTCGTTCTCGGTCGTTCTTGTTTCGTTCAAGCTGTTCGGTACTTGTTTGCTGACTGTTAGAATTATGTTTGGTAATACAGTACTGAACATAATCCTTTCGTTCAATACATAGGTTCCGAACATTAATGCAGATAGTTAGTACTGTTGAACCAAATATCATCTTTATTTTCGTCACTGTTGAACTGAACAAAACCATTAGTTTCGGGACTGTTGAAATGAACATCATTTTTTCAATTTTGAAATTACATTCACACGTGTTTTCAGGGTGATGCTTCGACTAGAGGCAGTAAGGTTAATTCAGAACTTGAAATGGATTATAGTAATGAATTTGTTACTCATGGGGTGAGTCTTTGATTGTTTTACAAATAATGTACCTTTTTTATGTGCAATAATTGGTTAGTTTAATTTATTTATTTCAGATATTCAAGAGTCGAGATGAGTTAATTCAATGGGCACGTCAAGTTGGAAGAAGAAATGGATTCGTTATTGTCGTGCAAAAATCAGATGGAGGTGGTATTCGAGGTAGGAAGCCAAGACTTAGCTTAGCTTGTGAGAGGAGTGGATCTTATAGGGACACTCGAAAAAATAGCAGGTCTAAGACAAAAAAAGCAAGACTGACTGGTACAAAAAAATGTGAATGTCTTTTTTTATTGAAGGGCAAAAAACTAGCCACATATGATGACTGGAACTTGATAGTTATTTGTGGTGTGCATAATCATCCTGTTACAGAATATCTTGAGGGTCATTCTTATGCTGGAAGGTTATCACATGAGGAAACCTCTTTGTTGGTAGACATGTCGAAGAGTATGGTACGACCAAGTGAGATATTGGTTACATTGAAACAACGTGATGATGCAAATGCTTCCACAATGAAGACAATTTACAATGCACGTCATAAAGTTGCTGAGAAAGCTGGGAGATCTCAAATGCAACAACTATTAGGTCAGTTAGCGATGAACAAGTACATTGAGTGGCATAGGAGCTGTGCAGATACTGAGACAGTGACTAATTTGTTCTTTGCACATCCTACTAGTTTGAAGTTGTTACGTGCATTTCCAAAAGTATTGCCGATGGTTTGTATTTATAAGACCAATCGATATCGGTTGCCCCTTCTGGAGATTGTAGGTGTGACATCGACAGACATGACCTTTTCAGTTGCATTTGCATACCTCCAGTATGAGAAAGAGGATAACTATACATGAGCACTTGGTCTTTTGCGTAGTGTCATGGATGAAAATACTCTTCCTTCTGTTATTGTCACAGATAGAGAATTGGCCCTTATGAATGCCATATGTACGGTGTTTCCTGCAACTACAAATTTGTTGTGTAGATGGCATATTGGAAAAAATGTGCTTGCTAATTGCAAAAAGATGTTTAAGACAAAGGATAAATGGGAAATGTTTATAATGAGTTGAAATATGTTGGTTATGTCATCGTCTAAAGAAGTATATATGCAATGACTTTCTTTGTTATATAGTGAGTTCAGTACTTATCAAGATGCACTTCATTATGTTACCTCATCTTGCTTGGATCCATACAAGTCGAAATTTGTGGCTGCTTGGACTGACACATTTATGCACTTTGGAAATTCTACAACAAATAGGTAAATACGAACATTTAAATTTATTAGTAATTTGGTTTTTTATAACATTATTTTTTTAATAGTTTATTTTCATATATAGGGTTGAGAGTTCACATGCAAAACTTAAAAGATATCTTGGATCAAGTCAAGACAATTTTGAGTCGAATTGGACAAGGATACACAATTTACTTGAGTTGCAACATAGTGAAATAAAATCATCATTTGAGAAAAGCAAGATAGTTGTGCAACATGATTTCAAACCTGCATAGTTTAAGGAGCTTCATGGTAATGTCTTAATTACTGCATTAGAGATCATATTGGCAGAGTTTAAACGAGCATCTTCTGTTGGTATTGATATTACTGCATATGGATGTGTTGTTTGACGTACTCATGGTTTGCCATGTGCCCATGAGATACCAAATTACATGAGGGAAAATCGGCCAATTCCCCTCACTTTGGTTTATTCATATTGGACTAAGCTTGATATGTTGAGTACCCCACACACTGTAAGTGAAGAGTGGACTTGTACACCTGAGTTAGAATTGTTTGCCAAACGATTTGAGGAGGTGGATCCAGATGTGAAGAGGTTTTTGTTACAAAAATTGAGGGAGTTAGCCAAACCTGATTGTACATTTTTGATTGAGCCAGAAGTGAAGTCTAATCCACGAGGTTGGCCAAAATTGAAGATTGAGACCTCCACTCGTCGTGAGCCATCTGCGTTTGAAATAGTTGCTTCAGCACAAGATAGTTATTCACCCGGAGTCATTGCCAAGGCGAGTGTAACAACAAAAAAGGTGAAAACAAAGAAGAAAGAAAAGGTACGTGGTTTACTAGTGAGGTATGTAATTGTGTCATGTTGTCTACTTTATTGTCTAACATTGGCATTGGCCTGTGATAGGTTCACCGGCTTCGATCATTGAATCCAAATTGCTTTTTAGAGGCATTCCCTTCTGAATTGGGACGATATATTAAATACGCTAAGGATGTTGCAGCAGATGGCAATTGTGGGTTCAGAACTATTGCTGGTTTGATGGGTTTTGGAGAAGAATGATGGTTACAAGTGAGAAAATATTTACTTAAAGAGTTGCATGCGCATAGTGACCACTACAGGAAATTATTTGGATCATAAGAGAGAATCGATGACCTTACCAACATCTTGGCATATTTTGAACCAAACCCTGGGTTGGACCGGTGGATGACGATGCCTGACATAGGTCATCTTATATCGTCTTTCTACCAAGTCGTTTTGGTCCACTTGTCTATGCAACAATATTTGGCATTCCTCCCTCTTAGGTCAATACCGACGTCTATTGCCTCTCGCAAGGAGATATGTATTGACTTTGTCAACAACAACCATTTTGTTCAAGTATTAGTTTCTAATGTTTTTGTACATTCTTGTACATTATAACGGCAAATTTCTTAATAACAACAACATTTTTGTACATTCTAATATTTTTTTTTTTTTTTTGTAGCTCATTTTGGAGCCTGGTCATCCTATTCCACCCATAGCAACTAACTGGCAGAGGTACCATGACCCTTGTTGTCACGACCCGAACCCGCCCCTATGGGTTAAGGACGTAACCGGCCAGTAATCCTGAGATTACCTACGGCCTCAAACCAAAAATAGACATAACTCGACAGAGTAAAGGGGGCCAAACGGAAGCAATAATCAAAAACTTTGTCCATAGAGCCGTGCTTATATGCACTACAAAACAAACCGTACTCATATACATCAATAACCCACAACAAGTACAGTATCACAAAATCCTTTACAGACAGGATCATCCAAACTGAGTCAACCCATATCAAAACTATATACAAATGTACACAAAGTCCTTGCCAACAAGACAAACTACAAATACATAACAAAATGGCAAGGATGGGTCTCGTACGTGAGACACAAGGCAGACTCTCCAAAACTCATATTGTTCCTGGCAGACTTCACTGGAGCTAGGTTTGGACTTCCCTCGGCTCACTTACAAACACATGAATGAGCGTTAGCGATAGCCCAGTGAATAATATCGGATACATAAATTACATAAGCAATATGAAGAACAACATGCTCCGAACGGCCTCGGGCCCAATGCATATTTCTGCTTAACATATATACACTTATGCAAAATTCAGATCAAATTACTATAGTTCCAAACATACTGGCCTTTGGCCCAATCAGATTTCCATTCATGTCAAAATGGCCTTCGACCCATTCAGCTATGTCAAAACGGCCTTCGGCCCATTCATCTTTGTCAAAACGGCCTTTGGCCCATTCATTTACGTCGAAACGGCCTTCGGCCCATACATCTTTGTCAAAACGGCCTTCGGCCCATTCATTTACATCAAAACGGCCTTCGGTCCATACATTCGTGTCCAAACAACCTTAGGTCCATTCGTTTATGTCAAAACGGCCTTCGGCCCACTCATTCATGTCAAAACGACGTTCGGTCCATTCATGTCGATCAAAACGACCTTCGGTCCATTCATTTCTATAATGTCAAACTTTTGTCCACAAATCCCAATTAGCAACTCATAAAGCTTATAAGGGAAATAACAATTGGGCATTGACGAGCTTTCAAATATCGATATTACTCACAGTGATCAGCTTGTAGATTCGCCCTGGAGCTTGACCCTACACATTCCATGAACATAAAAGGGTCATTATCAATTCAACCCGTTCTTTAATTTACATATTCCTCTTTAGGCTTTATTCTTATCTCATTAACTCATTTACAATGCTTAACACATGCCTAAGAGTGCTTACAAGTGAAAGAGAACGGAAAACAAAACACAGAACGAGCATATAAAATTTCAGAGAACAGGGTCCCCGCTCGAGCGTGGACTCCCCCGCTCGAGCGAACCCAAGAGGCCTGCAAAAGTACTGGTTACTTCAAAATTAAGCTCGAGCGTGAGTTAGGGCGCTCGAGCGGACGCTCGAGCGGAAGGCCTGTTTACAAAAACTCCTCGCTCGGGCGTGAGATATCCCGCTCAAGCGTACATCCATTTCTGCAAAAAGTGCTCGGAGCACGATTTATCCGCTCGAGCGGCCCTTCCCCCCGCTCGAGCGGAAGTCAAAATTCTGAAAATTCCAGGTTGTGTTCTTGAGCTTCAAATCGATTTTCCAGCTACATTACTTGCATGCAATGGCTCAAATCTCAAATATAATCATACTAACATGATGCAAACCCCAATTCACAACCCAATGAAGCTCAATTCACAATTAATTCACATGCATGTCCCAATCTCCCATCAAACTCATTCTAACGCAACAAATTCATACATTCAAGCCCATGTCTTCATAATTTGTACATGCATGTGACGAATTAGCCACGTTCTCAACTTAGATGCACAATTGGTGATCAAAACATGAGTTTCAACTACAATTTACTTGGGTCATACCCTTTGAGCTCAAAACATGCAACATTCAAGACGATCACACACATGTATGCATATGTGGGTCTCCATTATAACAAATTCAACTCAATTTCCTTGTGGTCAAATAATCCCATGCTCTAGACCCTCTCTCAACCTTGAATTCGCAAAATGATAGTTAAAAATTTACATGAACTACTCACCAAGGAGTTTAATCTTCACAATCTATGGCAATTCTGGTGTTATCTTCAAGGCATTCAAGAACCAAGAGCAAAACTTAGATTTTTCTCCCCTCCCTCTCTGATAGCCGACCCTTCTCTTTTCCTCTTAGAGTTGATCAGCCAAATCAATGTAAATGGGAAGGAATTGGTTCTAATAAGGCCTATAATGGCCCCACTCACATTTTATTTCAACATGAAATAATTGGGTACTCAATTCATCAATTTAATCAATTCAACCTGACCTGGATCAATTTCCAATTAAATTTCACCGTAGGCTCTAAAAATTATGCCAATCACAATGGCGTAATCAATTTCGGGTTCCGTGGCCGATAAGGCCTTCAATTTAATTTCCAAAACAGACTATTCAGACAGATATTCCTACGGTGAACAGATAAAATTTCAAAATCACATATATTCCCATAATGGCACATAAAATCATGCTAAACACATAATCTTACTCAAATTAAGGACCAGTTAGCATACTACGGAACAGGGGTATCACAGTCTTTCCCCCTTTAGGAAGTTTGGTCCTCCAAACTTAATTTACCTTCGTCGGGAAACAAATGTGGATAGCTCAGTCGCATTTCCTCCTCTTTTTCCCATGTAGCTTCCGTCCCATAGTGCTCTTTCCATTCCACCTTCACTATTGGGATGGACTTACTTCTCAACTATTTCACTTGCCTGTTGACAATCCGTTCCGACCATTCAGTATATTCCATATTTTCATCAATAGCAACCCGGTGATAATCAATCACATGAAACGGGTCTCAGAGGTAACCCCTCAACATCGACACGTGAAACACATTATGAATTTGCTCGAATCCCGGTGGCAAGGCAACTCTATAAGCAACTGGACCAAGCCTTTCCAAAATCTGAAATGGCCCAATATAGCGGGGCGACAACTTACCCTTTTTCCCAAATCTGACTTGGCCTTTCATCGGAGAAACACGGACGAACACATGGTCACCAACCTCATACTCAAGAGGTCTTCTCCGAACATCTGCATAATTCTTTTGCTGATCTTGAGCTGTTTTGATCCTTTGATGAATAGCCTTGATTTTCTCAGATGTGTCTTGCATAATTTCTGGCCCAAGCAACGCTCTATCCCCGACCTTTGTCCAATAGATAGGTGATCTACACCTCCTACCATACAAAGCCTCGTATGGTGCCATACCAATGCTGGAGTGGAAGCTGTTATTATAAGCAAATTCTGCAAGTGGCAAATAATCTTCCCAACTCCCCTGAAAATCCAAAGCACACATGCGAAGCATATCTTCCAAAGTTTAAATCGTTTGTTCTGATTGCCTGTCTGTCTGTGGGTGAAATGCAGTACTGAACCTTAGTTCTATTCCCATAGCTTCCTGCAAACTCTTCCACAATCTAGACACAAATTTCGGATCTCTATTCGATACAATAGATACTGGAACTCCGTGTAAACGGACAATCTCATCAACATATATGGTAGCCAATCTATAAGCAGTAAATGTAGTTTTGACGGGCAGAAAATGTGCAGACTTAGTCAGTCTATCAACTACAATCCAAACAGAATCCATACCTCGAGAAGTCCGAGGTAGGCCAACAACGAAATCCATAGTCACATGTTCCCACTTCCATTCAAGAATAGGGAGAAGTTGAAGTAGGCCGCCTGGTTTCTGATGTTCAGCCTTAACTTGCTAACACTGTAGGCACTTGGACACATATTCTACAATCTCTTTCTTCATTTTGGGCCACCAATAGGTTTGTTTCAAATCCCGATACATTTTATTGTTACCCGGATGCATAGCAAATATGGACCT